CTAAACCAAAAAAATTTAAACAAAATCAAAAATATTTTATATCCGAACATCCCCTTAGAGATCAAACTTCAACAAGGTTATTCCCTGATTGGTAAGCACTAATCGAACAAAATTTTTTTTAACTCATTTTAGCTTGAAATTCAATTTGAAATTAACTCAACATTTATACGCTTAATATTATCAATATAAATAAATAATACTCAAATAATATTGATGTATTGTCGCACCTCGAACCGCCTCTCCTTCATCCTTAAACGATTTTCTCTTCACATACATGCAAAATATGCTTGGAGACGTTTCCCGCGTAAAACCTCTGAAAATCAAGCTTGTAAAGGGCTATGATAAGTTGTATGTAAATTGTAAATAATGATATTGTAAAGCATAGTGTTTTTATATAGTCATTAACAAATACATTTCATACATCTTGCCTATTTATATTGAATCATTAGCTTCTTGAACAAGTTTTACCTTACCCGGCTGCCCGAAGGCGTGCCCGAATAGCCGAACTGCCCGAGGACTTGGCGGATGGTTATTTGGCTACCTTTAGGTCTGTTGGAGACCATCACTATAAGAATAATTATTATTAGTTGCGACACTATTTGTCACTGTATGTTTGAATATTGTCACAATATAATTTTGTGGCAATATTAAAAGTCGTTACTAGGTCGTGACTATATGTCACTAAAAGTTTTAATAACGACACTTATAATCATCACTAGAACCAAACTATTAGTCACATTAACTATTGTCACTAAAACCCAACATTTTGTTACATATATTCTTCGTCACTTTGATATTATAGTAACGAGTAGGTTTGGCCACTATATTTTAATACATATAGCAATAAATATTATTTGTCACAATATTGTATCAATAGTCTATGTTGTTATTACAAATTAGTGTTGTCACTAGAATTGAATGTTGTAGTTACGTAAAATTCATTCTCATAGCCACAAGTAACTAGTATTCGACCCTGTGCACTTGCACAGATATAAATAAAGTAACGTGAGTTATTGTATGCATATAATGATTAATTGTTTTTCTTTCACCTTTTTGTTGGCCAAATTTACAGTTAAATGAGTTGATTTTTTTTTTAGTTGTGTTTATCTGATTGGATGTAATGTATATTTTGAGATGTCTTTTTTTTGTGAATTATTTATTATTTATATAGGAATTTCAAATACATTTTTCAGTTAAAAAAAAGGTAATTTAAATATAACCACAATAATAACATCTAATCACAGTATATGGTCAACTGTCAATAATCAAAAGTTTAAAATAGTTTTTGTAATTTTAAAGTGATTAGTGTTGATTATTTAAAAACTAAATGAAAGATTAAATACATCAAAAGTAACGATTTTTTGAGGGAAAAGGGTTAAAATTGCCACATAGGTGAAATTAAACAAGTTTTGTTAAATGCTATTAGCTAGTAATTATATATATAGTTATATATTATTATTATTATTATTATTATTATTATTATTAAAAAAAAACAATTTTTTATAAGATTCTAAAGTTGTTTGACTATGCTATTAAAATATTTTACTAATTGTTTTAAAAATTTTTTTCATGAGATACAAAAGTAAAAGATAATTCTGATGTTAAAATAATAAACTTGAAACTATTATTTATAATTATGTAATTTATATTTATTGTGGATTATTATTAGTTGGTATTAGCAATAACTAATATATAATATAATAGAAACATACATGATTACACTCAATATGATGTATTAATTTGAGAAGTAAAATATTATTGATAAATTTTGTAATCGAAAATGGAGGGAAAATTTTACAGGTTTTATTAAATACTATATGCCAACAATTATATATATATATATTATTATTATTAACAAACAATTGTTTAAAGATTCTAAAGTTGTTTAACTATGCTATTAAAACAATTTACTAATTGTTTTTAAAGAATTTTTTTATGAGATACAAAAGAAAAAGATAATATTGATGTTAAAATACATAACTTAAACATTTTTTATAATTATGTAATTTATTTATTTTGGATTATTATTAGTTGGTATTAGCAATAACTATTATATAATATAATAGAAAAATACATGATTACATTCATTAAAATGTATTAATGTGAGAAGTAAAAAAATATTAATGACAAATATTGTAACCGAAAATGGAGGGAAAAATTTAGAGGTTTTATTAAATAGGTTTTATTAAATGCTACATGCCAGCAATTATATATATATAGATGTGCACGCTATTGGAATTAGAATCATAAAATAATCAAAAAAGATTTACAAATTTTTAATTACAAAATATAATACCTATATTTTTAAAAAAAAATCAGACGTTGCGCCGACAAATCAGACGTTGCGCCGCCGGCGTATCATTAGTGAGCGATTAACGCACGTCTGATTTGGGGGGTTTCTGTATGGCACCACCCTTTATATTTCTATATCGGCTTCGATCCTTTGCTGGAACAGCGTGGTCAACAAATGTCCAATCGAAAGCCCCTATTCCATTCTGCACAGTTTCATAAATATGTATTAATGCATATTTTTCAAAATGCATATGTTTTCTACTATCAATATCCATCAAACCCACATACATCACATTTATATTGCACTTAGTATTGCACATAACCAGGTTAAACACATCAATTGCATAACATGAAGTTCAATAGATCATTTTCAAATTCTTGAGCATATATTAAAAGGAACTCACCCGGTTCTCCAGTTTTAACCTTCAAATGATTTCAACACAAGCTTTCTCCGGGTTCTCGTTCTTCATTGTCCCAGCTTTAAGTCTGAAAACAGCAGCAAGCACTCTTATGTCTCCTGAGAAGAAAACCAGAACCTATATTATGCATGTTGGCCCTTTATTTTTCAAAGCACACTCAAGAAACAGAGTAAGACATTATTATTGTTTTGATACAAATAACAATCAAAACATTTTTCTATTTCCAGCTACGAAGTTGTTTCTGATTCATCTTTCGAAGAGAGACCAAATATGAACCCGATTTGAAGAAAAAAAAAACGATTGTCGCAAAATTCAATATCACCAATACGTTTATCTAATGTTTACTCGGAACCGAGTACAAATATGAGACCTGTCTTACTTAATTGGTTGGTTTATTGCATGGATTTTTGTATACATTTTTTCATGTTTATCCATTGTTTATCTGTACCATCGTATCATTCCGTGTAGGTTATTATTTGTTTAATTCAATCTAAATTATACGAGTGAATTTTTTCTATCTCTACTTGTGAACAAACATCTAAATTATACAACTGATGTTTGATATATGAAAGCAATTTCAAAACTCTGAAAGTGGAATACTAGAATTAAGATAA